AATCCTTGGGTCCAGCCCCTAGGGACTTCAAAAGTGTTAACATTTGTAAAAAAATTTAATATGACAAAAGGGAAAAAATTATTTAACATGACTGAAAATAAATCATATTAACTATATTTAATTTTAATTAAATTTAAATGGAAATAAAATCAACTTCACATTACTTTTGTGGAGTGGGTCCTGAATTGCCAGTCAAAAGATAAATTCAGCTCTCGCTGCACCCATTGTATATATTATGCAGTCGCAAAGTGCAACAATTGGATTAAACATGAATTTCTTCTAATTCTACAGAAAAGTAACACCTAAGAAGATCCCAGGGTATAATTTTAAAAAGGGCAGAACAAAATGTGTGTTTGTGTATGCACATTAGAAATATGATCAATACTGAATTGCAAGAAAAAACCACAGGAAACCCTTGTCTTCCTTCTTTAAGTTATTCTCCTAAATGTCTCTTAACTGGATGATAATGGAAAATCCAAGATTGCTACATTTATTGGATTAATCTCCTTCTGTACTTACATATCTGTCTGTGATCATAATCTGATTATATTAGTGAGTCTCCTTGTAATTAATTTCTCTAGCAGAGCAAAAACTCTGTCTTGAATTCTAGGCTTGACACAATACACAGAATTACAGACTTAAAGAATTATAACACTCTGCCTATTTGTACTTTTCTGAGAAGTATTATATGGTTTTAAAATTTACTTTGAAATAGCAGCACTGGTAAGAATACCCTAGCTCAAATGATATATTTATGAAAAGGAGATGCATAAGCATTTTTAACCTGTAATTTTGCTTTTCTCTCCACTTCCCCCAGGGATTCCAGCTAAGGTGGCTTTGAAAGAATACATAGTCCTGCCATCGTATTACCTGCTGCTTGTAGGCACATGTGTAGAAATATTCTCCCACAGTAACATGATAACTCAAATTTTTCACCTACAGAATATTTTGCTGGAGAAGTAGGAGTTGTGGTATATATGCATCTCTTGTTGAACTGAGAAAGGTAGTACATTCAGTTTTGATTTTTACTGGAGTTTTAACTATTGTACTTTAAAATATTTCTACCGAGATCAGTGTCTTTGAAAGGGCAACCCTCTTGATGAATAATTGGAAAATGATCAAAATCCAATACAGCTGGCATTTATGATACACAGTTAATTTGTACTTAATGTGCATTTTACCCAGAATATACTCCCTTTGTAGAACAGTCCAACATTTTGCATGCTACAACATTCTGAGTTAAATCCAACATTCTACAACTGGACTTACATTCATCCAATAACACATTTTCCTTCCTCTCTAGAGAACCTCCTAGTATGTTCCAGCAAGTCCCCTCTGTAGACTAGATTTGAATGGTCCATGGGAGTTGCTGAGGGAAGGTGGAATTCAACAGCACATTAGTGTCCACTTCATCTCCAGGCATTGGATTCAGTGATTCCAGTATCAATCAACCAAGACTTAAGAATAATATGAACCCCTCAAAAATGTCAAAATTGGAAATACGATACTTAAGAACATGATTATCATATTAATCTAAACTCCTTTAATAGCCTCTAAACCAGGGTTCTCCAAAGTGGTCATTATTGACCCCCAAGGGTCAATGGGACTATCCATTATTGTTTTATTATTATTATTTGTAGTACAATTAGTTAAGATAGTATTTATTAAATTATTTTCATATAATAAACGTTTGGCGATTGATGAACAATCTGAAACTTCATGAAGGGGTTGATGAGCTGCTCTAAACTAATGGGTATTGCATCATCATACATTTTGTGGTACTACAGTCTTCCCTTCAAGTCCCAATATATCTAGAGGGTGTTAAGTCAGGGAAGTAATGCACCCCTGAAGTATTTCTTTTCATTTGTCCTGATACTAGCTATCGATCTCCCTGGGCAGCTCAAAGTTCTACTATTCTGAGAAAAAGAAAACAGTATATATTTCTTCTGCACTGAATATATTTTCTCCACACTGTTGATAGCCTTATTAAACATTCTATTAATTGTTCAATCATTTTATCAAAATTAAACATTCCAAGTACTTTCCCTCATAGACCAAATACTTCAAAATCCTTTATCATTTTAGCAGCAGAAGAAACAAACATAACTGTAATCTGTGGCAAGACTATCAGTTTTTGTCCCTTAACAGTAGCTGTTGACAGCAAGCAGGCACAGAATTCAGGAGACCACTCCATAATGTGTTTGATAGGATGGCAGTTACCTAATTATCTTTAATTAGCTTTTCCATGAAGTTCATTGTTTAACTGTTCTTATTCACTTTCATTCTCTACTGTTGTCCTTCCTTTGTGCTTACCCAAAGTGGTAAAGTTTTGATTAAAAGCTCCTTGGGGCAAGGACCTCCCTGTTATTTTTAATGTTACTTATAAAATATGTGCCGGTCTCAGTCTTCAGAAGTATTATGCCATGTATAATGTTTACACAAAACCAAAACTAAGTAAAAGCAAATATTTATTTATTTAGCAGCCTCAATAGGCACAGCAACTCTAGGTGACATACAACAATAAACAAATACAACTTAAAACCATACCAGAAGGGTAAAAATAATAACAGTACTGGTGTTAAGGACCCATGTCAGGAAAACAACACAATATTTACCCAACCAGCAAATATAAGTCAGTTAAAATCAAGTCAGGATGACAAGTGAGGATACAAATCACCCTGACACAAGCCCTATGGAAAGAGCCAAGACTTCAGGGCTTTCCTAAAAGTCAACAGGGTGGAGCCATGCAGACTTTGGAAAGAATGCTCCTCCTCCAAAATGTTAAATTGTCTTTTACAGTACAAGGTTGCCACACTGATGGCCAATCCACATTCCCATAACTCCATGAATAATGCCAATTCTTTTAAAATATTCATCATTACTGAGGCCAAGCAGCTATTTGTAACAGAGAAGACAATGTGATTATCTCTTCACAATATTGGACAACATATTTATTATTCTAAATGTTTCTCTTTCAAATTCTCCTTTCACTTTTACCTCCCAAGTTCTCAGCTCAACTCCATACCTATGTGTACTACATAAAGGAAGATGGAAACTGATTCAAAAGAAAAAAAAAATCAACCCAACCCTGTCCTAATTACATCATTGGCAGGTATGAACTTGCTCTTTAGAGCTGATCAGAATCAAGCTTCTTGATTTTAAGATTGTGCAATTAGCTACTCAGAGAGGCGTTTCTCTTTTTCAAGATTGTTTTATTGGCCAGAGTCATGAAATACTTAAATCACTTTTACTTAGTTCATGTAGTATATTTTCTAAGTTACAAGGGTTTTTTTTCCTCCCTCAGGAAAGAGGCAATGAAAGGGGAAAGAGGAAAAACTCCATTTTTCTCCATTTGGAAGATTTCCAAAATAAAGATGATTTGCCTGGAACCAAAGCTGGCTGCCTGTTCTCAAAACTTCACAAAAGTGAAAGAAATAAAATGGCAGACAATAAACCATCAACTGGCCAAAATACAAATTATCTGACTCCTTTCCACCACCACACTGAAACTTTCAAACACCTTTTTCAACCAGAAAAGAAGAAAACTTTCTTCATGGACTTAACTTTAGACCAGGTAAAGGGAGAGGGAAGTATTGCATGAAAGCATCAACCCAAGTCCAGCAGATGATAACATGGCTCTCAACCAGGTTATTAGGCTGGGAACAGCACATACTTCTTTTCTTTATCAGTTAGTGATATCACAATTCATTTCACTGTTTAACTACATTATGGTGGAAAAATATAAATAGCACCTAATAGTGAAGAGGCCTTTTTTAAAAATCAAGCAAAACCACATATTTTGCACTTGTAATTTCAAGTCTGTACAGAATTCTGATTCTTAGGCTCAGACATTCCTATGAATCACTGGTGGTTTTCCCCACGTTACAGGAAGAGCATAATAATTTTTCAGCAGTACTTCTATGCAGAGTATTTGCGCTCTTGTGAAACTCACACATCAGCCTTTTACAGGGGTCATATAAACAAGAGGCCAATCTCCTTTGCCAAGTTCTTATCCCTGTTGAATTTTCAAGGACTTGAGATTTACTCTTTAAAAAAGAGTAAAACAACCAAGAGAGTGAATTCTCAAAAGAAAAACTAATCTCTTGGAGCAAATGCACCAGATGATCTTGTATTTAAACTTTAGTAGATAAGCTACAGTAATATAACTATAGAAATATACTTCATCCAGTGAAGTACAAAAGATGTCTATGAACAAGTCTAGAACAAATTTTGAGTTTAGGACCCATGACACATATATAGCTCAACATTCTATTAAAGTATGATCCCATTTTTTTACAAATGCTGTTCTTGTTTCCAGATGATCTTCTGAGATTATACTAGCCAAAAACTAAGAACAGTGGGAGGGGTGACTTTACAGCTTCCGGCTTCTTCTGTTGGCCTGTCACCTTTATTAGAGGAATCAAGCTCACATTCAAAAGCCTGAAGTCACCAAAATCGGGGGGGGGGGGAGTAATTTGTTCTGCCTTCTCCTCTTCCATCACTCATCACTTAACCATTACAATTTGGTTCTGCAATCAAGAATTACTTTAACAAGTTATTTCTGATACCCACTTTTTGATAACCAGGACCAGATAGAGCCACTAAGCACTAAACCTTAACAAGACAAAAGAAAATCTCAAAAGAAGCATCTGCAGAAAAGATAATGTTGTACCTAATTTCATCAGAGGTAAAAACAGTGGTAAAGTTAATGAGTCCCTTTCATCGCATGTAAAAATACACCCCAAAGATGGTAAAAAGTGTACTGGTCTGGCTCAATAGTGAGGGAATGCAAATGCTCGCTGGATGCCCTTGGCCAAAGTGATTATACAGAGGCCAGGACAGGAATATCACCAAGCATGTGCAAAGTGTGCTCCTGGATAAACAGCCCTCTCGCCATACATCCAGGCGACAGATTCCAGGCTACAGCCCAGCCCCTTTCTTAGCGAAACTCACATACACCAAGTAAGTGGGTGACCTATTCCCCCTCGTCTCCAACTTACCTTTCTTTTCGTCTACGGCGGAGCTAAGGGTGCTCAACAGCAAAGCGAGGAGGACAGCGGTGACAGGGCCACGTCTCGCCTCTAAATGTCCCGCGCCAGCTGCCGAAACTCCCGGAGATCGGCGATTCCCGTGCCCCATCCTGGGTTTGTGTAGCAGTAATCCGGAGCGCGCGCGCTCGGCGAAGCGAGGCTGTGGTCCGAGAGCTTCAATCTGCTGGCTGCGCTTTCCCTCGCTAGTTCTTCTCAGCAACACCTTTCTCGTTTAGCTCTCAGTCTCTCAACCACTGACCATGCCGAAAGATTGAGCCAATTCCGAGATGATGGCGGGGGGGGGGGGGGGGGGGGGGGG